GGTGCCTGTTTCCGAACGGGTGGGCCGCGCGGTGCTGTCCGCGGTGACGCTGGCGGCGACGGGGCGTCGCGACGTGTCGGGCGCGGCGCGCCGGCTGGCGCGCGACGTGGAGCCGGCGGGCGAGGAGAAGCCGCTGCCGGTGCCGCACCGCGACGGCCAGGGGCAGGGCGATATGATGGCCCGCATGCTGCACGTGCTGGGCGGCGGCGACGCGGCCGCGGGGGACGCCGACCGCATCGCGGGGCTGGCGCAGCTGAAGAAGAAGGTCGCCCGCCTGAGCGAAGGCGGGAAGAAGGCCCTGGCCGTGCCGCTGCCGGAGCCTGTCAGAGGCAGGCTGGAACGCGGGGAGGCCTATAAGATCGCGTCGGAGGAGGTCAGCGCCAAGTGGGCGGGGGTTGTCGCCAGGAATCGGAAAAAGGACGTGTTGGACTTTACGAAGGGGAACGCGGAGACGGTCGGGAGGAATACGGGCGTTGTCGCGGAGGGCTTCAAGCCGATTAAGGAGTATGAGAAGGAAATTCAGAGGATGCTTAGGGATGGCGGTGTGGGGAGCGATGTGCAAGTTGTGAGGAATGAGGAGAAGGACTTTCAGGATCAGCTGGGCGTCGCTGGCGTGTCCAAGGAGGAGCTGCTGGAGAGGAGGCGGGAGCTGGCCAAGGTGCGCAGCTTGATGTTTCACTACGAGCGTAAGATGAAGCGCATCAAGAAGATCAAGAGCAGAAAGTATCGGCGGATTTTGAAAAAGGAGAAGGAGAAGCTGACAGAAGGGCGCATGGGCGACCATGTCGAGGACGCGGAAGATCAACGGATGAAGAAGGAGAGGGAACGAGCGGAGGAACGCATGACGCTGCGGCACAAAAACACGTCCAAGTGGGTGAGGAGACAGTTGCAGAGGAAGGAAACCAAGAGAAATCCGGAGACCAGAGCGGCTGTTGAGGAGCAATTGCAGCTTCACGAGGACCTCAAGAGACGGCAGGAAGGAATGATGGACGACTCTGACGACAGTGATTCTGACAACTCTGAGGGTGGAGAGCATGCGACAGAGGAGCAGCTTGACGCCGAGATGGAGCAAGTACGTCAATCCCTGAATGAAGAAAAGAAGCCAGGTTCGAAGGCTACAAAGAGAAAGGGATTGATGGGAATGAAGTTCATGCAGGTTGCCGACGAGCGGCAGAGATTGCAGGCGCGAGCGTTGCTCGACCAAATCAATATGGAAGGCTCCGACGAGGAAGAAGCGGATGGACAGACTGTGGCATCTTCAAGAGGTCGTCAGTCCTTCTCAGGCGGTGCTGTCGAAGAGACGGCGAAAGCAGTAGGAACAAGCACAGAAGGGAATTTGTCTGACGAGGAGAAGGTGGTGAGTGACGACGAGGACGACGCCAGGGCCCTGAAGCGAAGAGTAGTCAAGGAGTACGAAGAGAGTGAGAAGAGCGCGCGGCCCGGAATGGGTGGGGGTTTGGTTGGTGGCGCGGAGAGGCTTAGCGAGGCTCTAATGGAGGCAACAAAGACGAAAGCAGGGTTCACGACAATTCTAGATGGGAAGCTGAAGGCGACGACAGCAAGCGACAATCCATGGCTGAGGATGCAGACAAAGGGTTCTGGTGGGGATAGGGAAGTGGCGCAGGTGGGTTCAGATACGATCGGTGACGAGAGCGATGAGGGCAATGTGGATATGGCATCCAGTGATGGAAAGGAAGAGGCAATAAAGACGACGAGCGGACAAGAGACCAGCAAGGAAGTAGGTAATGCTAAGGATGAAGCGTTGTGGCAGAAGAGTAAGAAGAAGCGCAATAGGAGGGAAACGGGGACAAAGCCGACGATGACGGTAGTGGATTCCAAGCAAGAAAATAGGGTCAAAAACGAAAACGATGAGGAAGCGAAGACAAAGCACAGGAAGGACAAGAAAGTGCATTTCAAACGCGATGATTCTGAAGACGAGAATGAGGGCGGGTCGGATTGGGAAGACGACGACGTGGCACGGATGAAGCTGGTGGCAAAGGCATTCTCCGGGGCAGGAGGTGCTGACGAAGAAGACTTTGCTGCGATGAAGGAGGGTGAAGTCGGACGGTCTCTCCCCAAAGCTGCGGACGTGGGGGCAGAAGTGCTGCCAGGGTGGGGCAGCTGGGACGGGGCCGGGATGAAGAAGCGTCGCAAGAAAGGGCGGGCTGAAAGCGCGTTTGCGCGGGCGGCGCGCGAGCGGTTGGACGCGGCGCGCTCCAAAGCGGTCAGCGCTCGCGCGGACCGGGACCTGTCGCACGTGATCCTGGACGAGCGGCGGATCAAGCAGGCGACACAGCTGACGCTGGCCTCGGTGCCGTTCCCGTTCACGTCCGTGGCGCAGTGGCAGCGCGAGGTGGCCGCGCCCGTGTGCCGCGAGCTGGTGACCGCGCGGGCGTTCGAGGAGCAGGTCGCCGGGCGCATCAAGAAGAAGGCCGGCGTTGGCATCAAGCCCATCAGCCTCTCGAGCGGGCGTGCGGCCGTCCTGCAAGAGCGAAAGCGCAAGATCGAGGCGCGCAGTGCCCGCCGCAAGGGGCTGTAGCGAGGCATCAGGCCTTTCTTCAGTCGTTGTGTCACGTCCGGACGCTGAATTTGATCCGCCGCTTTGATCCGACCGCATCGCACCCAATCGCTGCCCGCGTTGTGCGTCGCCCCGTAATGTAGACTGCTGTACCGTCCGATACGCCGGCCCCCCGGTCCTGTCATGCACCTCCTCTCAGCCCGCCAACATATATATTATTCTACGCACCTGCTCCCATCCCCAGCCCCCCCCCCCCCACCTCCCACCCGCAATGTCTCACCCGACCCCTCTCCCCGCCGCCGGCGACGCGCGCACCACGTACATCCTGCAGAAAAGGTACAATTCCGTCGGCTGCTACGTCTGCAAGTCGCACACCCACACACACCACGCCTGCCCCACCCGCCCGTGCTACCTGTGCAAGCGCGTGGGCCACCTCTCGCACGCGTGCCCCTTCCGTCTCAAACCCGGCGCGCATCTCTCCCGCCGCCGGGGCCCCACCACCTCCGCCGCCGCCTTCCTCAAGTCGCGCGAGGTCGGCTCCGCTCGCTCGCCGGCCACCGTTGCCCTGCGCGACCGCCAGTTCGACGCGAGCGTCGCGCGCTGCGTGCGCCGCGCCCACCAGAAGCGCATCACGGCCGCCGAGTGGCACCCGGCCGGCGCCCACTTCGTCACGGGCGACAAGGCCGGCATCGTGCGCGTGTGGGCCGTCGGCGACGTCCGCCTCGGCGACCCGCTCGGACACGCGCTGCCGGCCGCCGCCCCCAGCGCCGCCTACGTGCACCATTGCAACGTCACCGCCTTCGCGTTCGGGCCCGCAGGGGACGAGGCCTACAGCTGCGCGTCGGACGGCGTCGTGCATAGGCTCGCGCTGGAGCTGGCCGGCAGCTCCGCACAGCAGGAAAGGCTGGAGGAGGGCGTCAGTGGCAGGGACGAGGTGCTCAACATGAACCCCGAGGGATGGCATGGGCAGCACAATTTCAAGATGGGGTACAGCTTGGCGCGCGCCGGCAACGCGTTGTACATCGGGGATAGTGTCGGCCATTTGTGGCGCGTGGACCCGCGGGAGGGCGGCGAGAAGGGGCATTGCTGGCGGTTGCACAAGAGCAAAGTGACGTGCGTGGACGTTAACGTCGCGGGGGGGAATCTGGTGGCGACGGCGAGCAATGACCGGCGCGTGTGCGTGTGGGACGCGCGGCGGATGGAGCGCGGCGCCGAGCTGGGGTGGTTCGAGCACGGGCGCGTCGTGAGCAGCGCGTACTTCTCGCCGAACACGGGGTCCAAGCTGCTGAGCACGTCCATGGACAACCGGATCCGCCTGTGGGGCGATGTGCACGGCTTCGTGGGCGACGTGAACGCGCGCACGGATGTGGAGCCGGTCGAGATGATTCACTCGCACGACTTCCATCGACACCTCAACGCGTTCCGGGCAGTGTGGGACCCCAAGGACTGGCGCGACGACCTGTTCATGTGCGGGCGCATGATGGGCGACGCGTACGTGGATGAGGGCGGGCGCGAGGTGCTGCTGCACCCGGTGGATATGTTCGCGGCAAGCTCCGGGCAGGTCGTGCACTCGCTCATCGACCCCGCCGTGACGCTCATCTGCACCACCAACCGCTTCTCGCCGGTGGCGGACGGCGTGCTCACGGTCGCGTCCGGCGACGTCGTGCTGTGGACGCCGCCGCCGAGGGGGGAAGAGCGGCGGCGACGTGGTGGCGGGGCTTGGGGGTACAGGCGTGGGGGTGAGGGAGACGACGACGACGACGACGACGAGAGCGATGGCGATGAGGCGGATGAGGAGGAGCCGCCGTCAAAGAAGAAGCGCAAGACGGCCGTCGTGGCGAAGAGAAGGACGCGGGCCGTGACGAAACGGAAAGCAGGGTCGACGTGAAGGCGGGCGCAACTCGCAGTGGTGGGAAGAGAACGTTGGCAGGAATAAAAGTGGCGTTACGCGCCGACTCGGATTATACAGTACAGGAATAAGAACAACAAGATCGTACTCGCTACACGATCAGTTAAAAAAAGGCTCTCTCCCAACCCTCGCTCCCATGCCTCATCTCCACCTGACCCCGTCGTCCGAAAAGCCGTGCGCAGGGTGCCTTGCCTCCTTCCTAAGCGCCGGCAGCTTTGTATTCTTCGGGACGGACCCCATGTGCAAGTTCCTGAGCTTGAGACCAACGCGTCTTTGCTCCTCTGCAAGCTTCTTCCTCCGTGCCTCGCGCACCTCTTCGTACGTAAGCCTCCTCCCGACGGGGGCCCTCTTCGCCCGGGGCGTGACGGGCGAGGCGGTCTGCATCATCTCCCTGAAGGCGAGCTCGCGGTCGACAGCAGGGTCCCTGGTGATGCAGCGGCGCTGGGCGGGCATCTGCACGGGGATTTGCGCGGACGAGGAGAGCGACA